TGGCAAACATGGGAGTGCTCAGACACGGTGTTCAGATGGCAGCAGTGTTGTTGCTCTTGCTCTGTGGCTTCAATGGAGTGATTGAATTGCTGCATCTTGGGGACATTGGCAACCTTGGGCGGCGGTGATGGAAGAGCAGTCATGCCTCGCATCAATTCCAAGTTGCAACACGTTACATCCTGCAAGCTGTGAGCCGGTCCGAAGGCAAGGCAAGTGTCAGTACTTCTTTAAGAGGAACTTGGATTTGCAAACAATGTTGCGAAAGATGTTTCAAGGCGCGCCTGATGTGTCTTGAAGCAGAGGCTCAGGATCTGTTCGGAGCTTACTGAACCTAGTGGACCTAGTTGCTTCTCCTTCACCGTTCCGCAAAGCTCCGTGGATCTGATGAGGGCTTGGTTTCCACTAAAAAAATGCTGAAGATTTCTGAGGCAGGCCAAGTGGCAGCAGCCAGTGACGGCAGATGAGGAGCCCTGAAGCAAACAGTTGCCATGGTGTTGCAAAGCTTAAGTTGTTCTCTGACGCATCTGCTCACATTGCTCACCTCGTGATGCTCTGGGGAGTACTCGGCACCTTCCCGCGATGCAGACAGCGAGGCATACGAACATGCAGTGGCGCGCAGCAAGATCTTTCTCTTCTGCACGGATTCGTAGCGTTTATGTGTTTTCTCGCATGCCAGGCGTGCACTGGGCCTCCAGACGAGGAGGCAAAGTAGGGCGCAGACCCGTCTAAGGTCTAGCTGCGCCAGCAGCTGCTGCACAGCGGAAATTACAATTTCCTTGGCAGGCTTCGCAGGCTCTGCCATCCTTCTCGGCGGAGCTTTTGCACAAGCCACTCAAGGCCAATGCATCCCAGTCCGAGAACTTCACGACTCTGCTACCCTGGAAGGCAAGCCTCTGCTGTGCACATATGTTTCAGGCAGCATGACTAAAATTTCCTAGCCTGGAGTACTTCTTAGAAATCTTAGAATGTAGGGAACCACTGGCTGGAGGTAAAGTTAATTCGCGACATTCCCTAGAGGCTCTGAGCGCTGTTGGGCCCCTGCCTGGCAGCGTTCTCTCTCACGTTTCGTTTGTTTTGTGAACAAAGCGAATAAATGTAAGAAATGTATGAATTCACTTCGTTCCTAAACTCTGGGCCCACGTACAGACAGTCCGAAAGGTTAAAACACAACTTGTAATCGAGGGAGATGTCATAAGTCGTCCTTATGAGTTTTGTTTCGGGACGCGCTTGAATTTGATTTCTGCGTGTGAGGGAGAAATGAAATCAAACAAAAAAGGGTGCGAAGAGACAGAAGGTCATAAAGGGACACGAAGCGAATTGAATCTTGTGATCCGAAAGATGCCGGATCACCATGGTCCAGATTTTGGGGATTTGGGGACCCTGCGAGCGGACCAGCAGTCAAGTCATACCCCCAGGCCAAACTCGCAAAATGACAAAAAACCGTTCATAAAATACCTTTCACAAAACAACATGAAGTACAAGCTATGGGCGTCAAACTTCCGGAGGGTTGGTGCTGGGAGGGGGTTAGGGGGTGAAAACCACTCCCTACTCGTAATATGGGGTCTTGCCTGAAAGGATTTGTTCATTTCACTCAATTGATTTCGTGGGTTGGCTTCGCTCGCATAATGAGATGAAAGAATGAGTGAAAGCGAAGCAAGCCGCGAGCACATGCTGTTTGCGTGTGCGATCCTGCCTGCAGGTGCGCAGCAGGATCGTTTTTTAAGCTTCGGGTTCTGGCAGTCAGTGTCTATTTGCCTGACCCCAATTTCTTTGCCTCAGCATGCTGAAGGGCGCCGGATTCGTTCGCTAGGTATGGTCGTTTCATTCATTGCAGAGCTTCCAACAGACCACGGTCACATGCTTGTGGCAAGCAGAACTCACCATCCTCGTTACTGCTCGTTACTGGCTTCGAATGTCCGCCTTGGGATGGAGCGGTCCCAACCACTTCGAAGCGGTGCATTGTTCTTTTCCGCGAAGCTTCTGTCAACATGCGAGTCATGGGTTCAACCTGTTCTACCATGTTTCCTTGGCATTGCAAGAAAGCCATGCCATATGCATCAGTGAACCACAGCTGGAAGCTCGAAAGGATAATGTGTTGCGTTGCTTACGTTCCACATCAGGGTGCTTGCAAATTGATGGTTTGCCTTCGTCAACGGCCTCAAGGAGTGATTAATCAACTCATTCATTAATGACGACAGTATCCTCGTGGCAGTAAGGAAGGCTTGAAGACAACTGCTTCATGCCTGTTTGCTACCCAGTGTGACAGACGGCATTGAGCGATACGCGCTGACTCAACGCGCATGACTCTTTAAGAGCTTGCAATACTTGTTTTGCGAAGGATTTATAGAACATCCCTCACACCAAGTAGGCCCGAAGTAGGCGCGATGGTGAGGCGGACTCGAGCCACGACTCCGCCCCGGCATCCCCAGCATCGCGGACGGGGACATCCTCTGGCCCGGACAGCAATGCAGTCTCGCCTGCCCCCATCTAAGCAATGCCTTGAAAGCCGCAGGCCTCCTGTGGTTTGCTTACGCCTTACGCGACAACTGTCGGCAGGGGTACTCATAGCGCTAGCATTGTCGTCCTGAAGCAAGTTAACATTTCAGCGGCAGGATGCACCATCCTCACCGCCAGCTACACGACTGCATACGCAAGGCTGGTTGCGGAAACAGACCTATATAGTAAAGTTCGCTGGATGACTGAAGAGATGTTGGACACATGCATAACTTCTGCAGCACACTGAGAGCAAGTGGATCTGAGCTGCTGTGTACTCATGCGAGCTATTGCGAGCTGGCGCAAGAGGCAATAGAAAGCAAAGCAGCATACCATTCTCGGCATGCTGCTCCGTTGGCAGCTCTGACAGCTGATTCTCACTTGCAGGACTGGTCCCTGCAAATGGACTGGTACCTGGAATGGCCAAGAGCTGAGATACCCTGTCTAAACCAGATCAAATCTTGCATGCCTCAACACACGTTACCCTAAATGGCATCCTGCGCACTTATTCCTTCTCTGAGTGTCTGCATGCTTCTGCTACCCATGAGTTCTGTGCTTCTGCAATTTGCATTTCCAGCTCGTGTCTGTTGTGCAGGCCTGGGAGGCAACGAAGATGCCGCCGCTGCTTCCATCTGGCGGCTGAGGCACGATTTGGTTCTTTATGGTTTGTTGCCCATGCAAGTGAAAGGATGCTTCCATATCATGCTTGGAAGGCTACAGGATGTCCTGCATCTACCGCTGGCAGAGCTGCAACTCACTCCTCCAGCAGTCAAGTGAGATGCTGGAAATAGGTAAAGTCAATCTAATGAATCTAGCGCTTGGCAAATTGTTGGTCAGCGTTGTTTGTGGAAGCTGGTTTCTGCAAGTCTGTACAAATACCCCCAACCTTCAAGGGTTGCCATCAGATTTCCTTGCGGGAGCCTGTGCTTCGAGGCGCTGTGCTTCTTGCATCCATGCCCAAACATGGCCTTCATGTTCGAGTGCAGAGGGTTTGGATTTCAAGATATTTTAAGAATTAGGTTGGGCGGTTAGGGCTCTAATTTAATTGTAGAAACTAGGTAGGTTGGGGTTGACAGGTTCAACTTAGATTTCTTATCACTGCTAGCCAAAGCATGCTTGGTGGGTTTGGCTTTGTTGCAGTCAGTTCTGGCGTGGCAGAAATTGCTTCTCCACAGAACCCCCCACATCGAGAATCAATGAGTGCTCGGACTACGTCAGAAAGCACTAAGATTACCAAAGCATCCATGCCCGAGCATGCACAAAGCATCATAACGTTCCTGTTCGAGCGCATCCGAGCACCGCAGCATCCATGCCCAAAAGATAAGAACGCTCATGTTCGAGCGCATCCGGTTACCAGAGCATCCACGCCCAAATCATAATACCGTTCAAGTGCCTCCGAACACCAGAAATCCCTGCCCAAACCATGATAAGGTTCATCTTCGAGCACATCCAAATACCGGAGCATCTATGCCTGTAAACTTGATGTGGATTTTCGTGAGGGCAAACCTAAGGGCTTTTCGACACCAAGCTCGCCATGAAATCATGCCGAAACCATGGCTACGACTCTCTGCCTCATCGTCCATTCTAAAAAAAACGAGCACTCCGTTGCCGTTGCTGCAGGATAACTATCTTACTGCATCGCCAAAGGCAAACAACAGGGTCTGTGCTCAAAGTTCTTTAAGCAGACTCAAGGAGTTGGAGCTCCGCGATCCCCGTCCAGTGTAGGATCTCGAGACTCAATGATCTCAAGCTTTTTCCACTGTCACCCGGTCAGACATTCCATGGAAAGTAGAGGCTTATAAAACCTCTCGCTTTCAAGTTTCTCTGACCTGGGACCATGATACATAGGGGATATGGCAGGGAAGGTTTTTGGCCAGTCCTGAGCATCCCTGCTACCTGTCTGGTTAAGAGCTCTTGCCTTTTCCGCACCGTGTCTCACCTCTTATATTGCTGCGTGAAGGACAGGTAGCTCTTCTGCCAGTGCCCGAGACGCGTTTGCCATTGGCGGCTTTGATGTGCGGTTGCACCGTTGCAGTCAGAGTGGTACTCGCTCTGCTGGGGGAGAGCTTCGTGTCCGTTGCAGGTGAGACGCATAAAGCGTCCACCAAAGCAACAATCTGCTTTCTCATTGGAAGCAGTGAGCAGTCAGGAATTTGTAAACGTGCAAGCGGTGCAGGCGGAGAAGACTCGAAAGGTATTGGAATGCTCTGACCTCTTTCAGTAGTGTATGTAGTCGGTATTGGTGCAGAGCAATCCTAAGCAGGAATCAGCTACCCTAGTCGCCATCATCCAGAGGGACGAAAGCTCAGCCAGAGCACTCCCAGTCAAGGCGTTCCCCGCCAGCAGTGAGGTGCCAATTGCGTCCGTAATCTGAAGGACAAAAGCCGGCTCCATGCCACAGCTAGGCTTGCGCGAAGAGATGATTCTGCCAGCAGACTCTGATTCGAGTGCTGAGATGTCGCATGTCTGCTGAATCCGCGAGACTTCTCGCTGCAACTCGCTGCCAGCTGCTGGACTTGATGTACAAGCACCAATGCGATCCGCACAACACAGCCAGTTGCTAAGTGGACTGAGCCCAGCGCCAAGTTTGAGGAGCTGAGATGTGCTTAGCTTGTTATGCCAAGGTTGGAATTTTTATCCCTGCCGGCCACGGCGAGGTGAGTCCTGCTACTCTCCTGGCTAGGCGCATGGAACGGTAATGCCGCGGCAGGAAGGCATCAACCAGCTGTGTGAGGCGATGCAGTGGGCTTAGCAGCTTTGGCAGCTTGTCACAGCTTGTGCTAGTGAAGCAGCCCGTCCAATTCGAGGTGTGGGGAAGAGCCAGAGGCCGTGGTGGTCGACGAGAAGGTGACCTCACAGGGATGTCCACAGCCACTGGGAAAAAGTTGAAGCCAGGCAAAACTGGCGCTTGTGGCGTTCGAGCCCGGTCCTCGGTTCAGACAATCGGTGGATGTAGTAAGTTTGAGGGTCTTCAAGACAAGCTCCTTCAGTCTGTGCTGAGCATGAGACCTGTGCCAGTGGACGTATCCTCATGAGCATCGCCATTCAGTTGAGCAAAAACTTCAGAGCTGTTCCTGGCCCGCCTGCTTGTACCACATGCCATTCAGGCACAGTGCTGAGAAGGATGCCTTAGACCATGAGCACGTGCTCCTGCTTTGGCCTTGGGCATCCTTTGCACCTCGTGGCTCCAAACCTGCCCTTGCTAATGGTTAGGTGGGACGTGCCATCGTCAATCCACAGGTTGCACATGTTTGGATCAGGCCGTGTGATTGCTTCGAGAAGTACTGCATGTGGCAATAGCAGCGGAGCTTTGGCCCTGACTCTTCTTTGGCACAGGCCGATACAGATTCTTCGTGGAGCGGCCGGGCCTTGAGGCATTCAATGTGTTGATTGTCATGAGTGCTGGTAGTGCCTGACACCTTGGTTAATTGACGACTCCTGAATGTAGTGTGGTACATGGTAAGCCAACACAGTGGCGTCTCAGAACGCCCATTCCAGCAGCATCCACCTGAGACAAACAAACCTCAACCGTCTGAAACTCCGGAGAATCCTGAATCCACCAAATCCTGGAATATGCTCCCAAGAACCAGACAACTTGGCACACCCACGCGTGATTCTTGAGCCACATGCAATGGCGAGTGTTGCGCTTGCGGAAAGGGTGACATACTTCACGTGCCTGACACTGAGCTGGAAACACCGGAGCCTTGATCTTTCAACACTGGAATAGGATCATTGTGCTGGCCTCAAGACGGCAAGACCCGCACGGCTGTGGAGAAGAAACCTTGCAGCATGTGGAACTGATTTGCGAAATGTACATTTTAATTTTGATCGTGCTTGATGGCGCCTCTGTGGCATAGGCTGCAAATATGAACTGCCTGCAACCTCTGAAATGAAACAAGAGTTGAGCTTGCAGCCCGCCCCATTCATACGATTGTGTAAATTCAGCCCATAGACTCGTGTCAAAGTGTGCGCATCCCCATGCATCATGACATGACTTACATGACTTGCTCGTGCCGAAGCACCGTATGCTTCAGCAAATGTCGCTCTGGAGCACGGCCGGGAGGGTCTGTTCATCCTGTTTTGGTGACCAAGTTGGTGACCACAGTTTGAAAGGCCTTCATCAAGGCAAGAAAGTTGATAAGCCGTGTAGGTCGTCTTTTATGCAGGAGCCACCAGTGGAGCTCTTCAAGCCGGTCCACCCTTTTATGTTGTCCCAACCTCAACAGCAGCAGTGGCAGCATGTGGCAGCCGCAAAGCAACTGAGACTGACACGGCTTGTACCAGCTCACGAAGCTTACTCAAAGCATGAGCAACATGAGCAACGCACTTCAGCGTCAGGCAGTGGGAGGTCTTAACACATCCCGGCAGCACCAGCTCTCGGCTCAGATCTTCCATGTTTGGGGCCGTACAAAAAGCATCCTGTCACACTCCGATGCCTCCTTCCACAATCTGTCAGCCTGTGATTCTTGAAGCACTCACAGGCACGAAGAAGAAGCCGCCAACAGTGAAGGGCATGTGTGACTGGCGCAATCCAATGGGCAGCCTGGCAGCACTTTCGGCTTTCAAACGCGACTGCGGCACCACATCTATTGGAACTTCTTCGTATTATCCGCAGACCATGATGCAACAGCCCGCTGATGTAAGATCAGCAAGTTGTCATGAGAGAGGTGCGAAGATTCCTTAAACTTCCACGCTACATGCATTAGAGCCCAGGACTTTGACAGCTTTTCGCATAGCTTGCCCTTGCCTGTGTCAAACGATCTCATTTATTGAGGATGTAAGACATGCATACCTTGGATATGGGAGCTCCTATCACTTCTTTCTCATCCATTGTGAGCTGTTTGATGCTTGTTCTCTGGTGATGGTTTTGCCCTGCAGCTTTGGGGGGTCAAATCACTTGTGACATTGTTTTGGTGAAATCATGCTCTCGCCTGACACTGCCCGGCATTTCCCTAAACCCTGACACCCTTAACCCTGCTTAACCCTGGAAATCTTGAAGCCAGCTCTATACCGTTAAACTTCAAACCACAAACACCCAAATAACCCTGAAGCAGCAAAAACATGTAAATCCCTAAACCCTTAGATTAGAAATTGCCCTTAGGCCCAAACGCTAAGCCCTGAACCTGAAATACCTTGAAACCTTGAAAGACCCTAGCCCAAAAAACCGAAGTCAGGCCAACCCTAACTTTCAAATAACTCTCTGAACCTTAAAACCTTCATCACATAACCTAAACCCTTAAACCCCCTAGCCCATAACCCGTCAAACCTGTAAGGTCTAAAGAGTCCTAAGCTCAAAAACACCAAAGACGCCCAAAACACCTAAACCATAAACCCTGCAACTCCTATTTCCTTAGCGCCCTGAACCCTGAAAGCCCTTGAAGCACAGGACCTAGCCCAAAATTCCCCAAACCCCTACACCATAGACTCAAAGAGCCCTGGGCTCCAAATCGCACAAAACCCTAAACCCGTCAAACCCGTCCAAAACTCCAACACACCTAAACCCTAGGCACCTAACCCCCCTAAGCCCCTAAAGACCTTAAAGCCCAACGGCCTCAAATGCAAAAGACGTGCAACGCCCAAAACACCTAAACCCTAAAAAACACTGGACGATAAAACCGCTAAGAAGTACGAACCATGAAACCACACATGCCTCAAAACGACAGAACGGACATTCTACCAGACTGACAACACCTATCTAAGATCAGTAACATCTTAAAATCTAATCCCTAGAGGTAAGACAGGTCGTCACAAACGACTTCGTGTGCGTACTCATTACCTTCAGTCTCCCATACTTGGGCCACTTGAATCTCAGATACTTGAAGTGACACTTCTCCTTAGTGAGCTTCAGTACCTTTGCCCTAGCAAGCTGCCCAAGGCTTTGCTTGCCACGTGGACGACACGAAACCTGCTACTGAGTTCGTTGGGTGCTTCTCGGCTGAAATGTCTTGTTTATCCAGTTCACTGCTGCTGAGAGCCATGTGGTGCATTAACCCTTGGAGTCCTTGGAGCTACCACCGGTGTGGCCTCGTTGCAAACTACTTGGGAATCGGACCCTGAAGCAGTGACTGACGATCATGGCTTCCTTTGCCCCTCAGCAGTCCTTGCAATTGAGGCTGTGCATCCATTCAAGGCGCGGGCCTGCGACATCAGGGCTCACGATTTGGGGTCTGTACCGTACGAACCTGGATGTTTCATCCTTTATGCTGGATTGCTCCTTGAGAAGTCCAGATTTGTGCATCAAACTTAAAAAGAAAATGGTATGCAAAAGAAGTCTTGAACCTGTGAGTATTGTTTGGTGGCTAGGCCTGGAAGGCGGAGCTCAGGCCATTCCTGCTGCATGGATTGCATCTAAGACCGCAGAGGTGTAGGATCAATGCTTTCAGGCGTACGAATCTTACAAGCTTTCATAGCGTATGCGGATGTATCGGAATTTTAGAAAATGTTAGCATGTTTTGTCCTGTTTTGCAGTGAGTACAACTCAGAAAGCATCAGTTGAACCCTCATATCGTGATTGCTGGCAGGCATTTGTCTCCGGAGCCTCTGTACTTCCGATGAGATTTCTGCTGAGCTCTCGGGCTTCGCTTACAGCAGCAGGTGGTGCGGAAAAAATCCGTGTGAGGCCAGTGCTGTTGAGCACTTTGTGCCCAGAGCGCTGGTGCGTTGCATGGGGGGTCGACGTTGGCTCCAGCGAGGCCGTCGGTTTGCTTGCTCAGCTCGCATGCGAGCCCACGTCCTTCGGGAAGTGTGGGAGATTTGCGTTTGCAGGTTCGTGCGGTGCGCATTCTTCACCACGAGCTGGTCAACCTGCCGCAGAAAACCTTGGCCAACCCTGCGGTACTTGAAATCAAGCCCTCACGACTGCGCTTTACTAGCAGCGCTTCAGCAGTAGCATAAGTGACTCACAAAGCCCTCGGGACCCCTGCAAGACATTTGGTCATGGCAGCATTGTGCTTGCAGGGATCGCTGGCTGTGAGCTCTGGACCATTCTGCCAGGCACCAGCTGTCCTGGAGGTGCGACTGAAGACCAGCCGAGAATCCTTGTCGCCCAAGTAAAGGGTGGTTGCATGTTTTTGTTCCTTCGCAAATGCAGCCCAAGCTCAATCCGGAGCTCTGGATTGGAGAGTGACGCTGTTTGATGCCGGGACAGGGTTGGGGGAGACCAGAAACACGGAGGCCTCGCGGTGCAGGGGTGCAGAGACTGCAAGCTTCACCGTCAGTGGAAGCCCACGAAAAGGACTCAGAGCGAGGGATCGGAATTGAAAAGTGTAATGAAAACAGGGGCTGGCGGAATGGTCATCAGCATCACTTGTCATCAACAATGCGTCCTCTACCATCACAGTAGGTCCCCATGTCGTGACTCACATGCACCATGCCTACATGCAAGTACGTAGAAGTAGGAGGTATGTACATGCACAGACGTACAAGTATGTAACAATATGTGAACACAAGCACGCGTTACGAAGCGATACGGACATGACATAGGTATGTGCATATATTCGTTCATTCATACATACATGCATACCGGCCTACCTTCCTATTTTTGGGAAGTACATACGTACATGCTTGCATTTGTACAGGTCTATGATGATCTATGACCTAAGAACGTACATGCATCCTTTATGCGCGTACACGGAATGCAGGCACGGACGCATGCACGCATGCGCACCTGCATGAATACATACGCGCAGGGACGCATGCACACATGCATACGGCATGCACCGTCTTAATCATAATGATAACCGTCTTCATATTGAGAATCACCTGCAGCAGTCTTGTCACCAGTCATATGCAGCTTTGTTTTGCCACAGTCCCTGCAATCGCTCCAATTATCATAATTATCACCGCCATGAGCAGCCATGGCAATCATCGTCGCTTCCATCATCATCGTCATCACCTGCAGTAGCAACATCATTGTTGTTGCCTCATTACTGCCGTGTTCGTTCTTTACCAATGATTAGCATGATCGCTCAATCACGGCACGCACCCGGAGAATCTTAGCAGATGCGGTGGATTAGATATCTTGCAACAACCAAGCAGTCTATCCCCTCCTCAGTGGATTACTTGAAGCCCGTCGCTCTGTCAGCCGTGAGCTGAGTGTTGCAGCTGCACGGCTTGGGTTGTGAGACACACCATTGGGTGACTTGTTCTGGGAACGTGTATGCACATGTAAGCAGCTAGGTCCTGAGATTTGTTTGGAATGACGGCTATAGTATTATTTTCAGCTCTGCATGAGCATCAAATGCTTGTGGACAATTCAATTGGATTTGAAGATGTGGCTTTACTTGCACGCAATCTCCAAACGCGTGGTTTTTGATAGGTGTCGACCTGTGACACGTGAGGCACGTACACTGAGGAAAAGATGTACTATATGTACTCTGTAAAGATATGGTCTGCCTCTGTCGAACGACTCAGCCGCTTCTGTCATCTACCATACCAGGTTTATCAGAGATCACTTCTTCCAGTACTTGTATCATCATCGCTGTGCTCACCTCACTTGCGATCCCCATCATCGCGGCTGCCGTCATTGTTATCCTCATCAACATCATCTTAGCCCTCATGAGCATGATAACCATGCTGTGGCAACAGCCGCCAACGATCAATGTGTGAGCATCTCCTATGGTTGGCCATGTCTGTTGTCGTCTTCATGTTATTCCATCTCCACTTCCTCATGCTGATCATCGTCACCCTTCGCACCATCATCGCCAATCTTATAGAGCGTCGGCTATCCTCATTCATCATATGCAATGTGTCGACACGTGTCATCTGTTAGCAATGGTCTATGAGCAAGTTATCCTTCCACCAGCTTGAGTGCCTTGACTCTGCAGTTTCTGCTCGTCCTACTACTTGCGTTCCTTGGCCATGTCCATCAAGTCCGTCAGGCAGTAAATGCGCTGCGACTTGGTCTTCGAGAGGCCTTGGCTTACAAGTGGCCGCTGGCGACGGAATCCAGAGTCGACAGTAGGGGGACGCTGAGCTGCCAGGCATTGTACCCTGCATCCTGGTGGAGTTGGGATGGTTGGGGAGCGGAAGGCAGCTTGGCTCAGATAGCGAGGCCTTTTGCTAATCGCAAAAAAACGATTTTGCTTGCTACAGTGAATGGTGCTTGGTACCGCGGTAAAGTCCCAGAAGATCAATCCGTCAGGCATGTTTTAACTGTGCAACACTGAGCTTGTTGAAAGTAGCAGTTTTTTGTAGACATTGGCCAAAAAGCCAGCATCTTGACAGCCAACACATCTTGAACGGATGTCAGGTACAGAAACTTCCTCAAGGCGGCATCGAGGCTGGAATGTGTCACTAATTACAGCTGCTACTGTCAAACATCACGATGGATCTTCAGAATAGGCTGTAGTCGCACCACAAGAAGAGGTCGCGTAGGTCAATCTCTGGGTGTCAAGGTACAAGGCATTTCTTGGCAGGAAGGGTAGGGAGATCCATGCTGGCAAGACGAAAGCCCGTGGCAAGTGGATGAAACGATGCGTGGCGAGAACAGCGAGAGCCGCGACAGCTGCAATCTGCAGGAAGGCTGATTTTGTTTGCAGACCGCCAAGCTGTGCTTTCAACAGGTCACGGTCACAGAGATGCGAGGGATGGCGATTTGCTGGTGCAAACCTGAGTGAATCCCACGCCGAGGGGCAGTCGCCACACAGCCAGATGCCTCACACGTGACTTGCTCAATGGCTTAGCAATCTTTAATTTCACACACTGTAACAATGCTCCCCTGCCATGCGGAGTTTTGCCAGAAGAGAAGCAGGCTACAAGGATCTACAAGGTGTTTGCGCCAAGTTCACTGAGGATTTGCCGGAACTCAGCTACCTTCTGAGACAGCTCATGGAGGTTGGCTGACCGCCAGGCTTCAGCGTGGATGCTTCAGCTGCTACTTCTAAAGGTGCTGCCTGATAGCGCAGCAGTGCAAAGACCGAAGAAGCCGAGAGCTTGACCAGGGCCGTGAGCAGGTGTGTAGATGTGTGTAGTTTGCACTGTCAAGCTGTAGGATGAAGTGGCGGCAAGCGGCGACGTTTTCGCAGGCACCTCTTGCAGTCTGGAACTGGTCCTTGACGACATAAAGCCACTAAGAGCAGCAGCCGATTGCTAAAAAAGCTTCAGAAGCTGCTAAGTCCGTGTGTCAGACTACTACCGCGCGCATTCACGCCTGCAACGCCTCAGGACTGGGACGAAGAGGACCAGTGCTTCCTCCGGGGACTGCAGCCACTCTCCCAGCGGGAGGACTTCACAGATCAGGATGTGTGGGCACTTGTGTTTACGAAGCTCGCAGAAGTCTGCGCCAGCCGGGAGCTTCTCGCAAGAGTATGTAGTTCTGCATTCTTGATAGACCTGCAGAATCTCTTTACAAAGTCTGCCCCGCAAGGACTTGCGGCCAGATGCAGACAGCGGCAAGGAGTGCTTTGAATGATCAACAGCCTCGCGCTTTCAAGATGCGACTGACACGGTAATCAAGTCGCCATCCCCCCATGCATAGTACTGTATGTGGCAATAGGGTTGTTCGACCCTCGGGTTCAAACGAAAACGTAGCAGGTGCTAATGACGTCAACTAAGCATTCCATAGTCTGCTGGTGCTTCGGGTGCTTGGGATCGCCAGGTTCAGCCTTTGTCGAACATAGGAAATTTCACCTCAGTACTCTGGTTGGCTCTTTCCCCTCAGCCATAGGCCACTCTTGCAGGACACGGCCTTTCAAGCGATTGTGGACTTCTTGGCAAAGAACGGGGAGCCCGATCCTCTTGACGCCGCCGCATGCAGTACAACAATCAATCGGCTAGAGCTTAGCGCACAGAGAGCGTGACTGCCAGCCGCAAACATGGATAGATTGCAGCAGCCGAGGGGTGCGAGCTGCTTGATCAGCTCAGTAGCCGAGGTCTGCCATCAGCTCGCTGCCGAGCAAGATCCGCAAATCAAAGAAGCAACTGGAGAAAAGGCCCTCCCCTAGGCAGAATAAGTGTTGTTGCCTTGCAAGCATGGAGCATGTGGCTTTTGGGTATGTGTGGGAGATAAGCAGGAAGTGCATTGCAGCCGTAACGCATCTTGTGAACCAGAAACTGATCATTATTTCAGTCCCGGGCTCAGGCCTGACCTTTTTGAAATCCGCGCGACCAAGAGGGATTGCTTCGTCCGTACCAAACTCAGCTGCCTAGGAGGAAGGCACGGGATGTCTCCAGCACGTGGCTAGCAGCTAGCGAATGTGCGCATTCTCCAGGCCTGGCTGGCATCCAAAAGTCAGGAAATGCCAAGGCCCACAAAGGCGCTGTGAGCAGCAAGCGTCTTTGGCACCGTGTTGCAAGAGTCATTGAAAGGCAAAACACACACAAGAGCAGACTGAGTCAGATGAAAGGCAGACCCTGTAGAGACGAAGCATCCCTTGAGCGGAGCGAGCATAGCGAACTTTCCATCTAGCAACTCAGCCCACAAAAAAGCCATCTCCTGAGCCTCCTCTTAGTCTTCATCTCCTTCCAAAGGTCATCGCCATTCTTGGCGCTGTGCCTAGCCCTGAGCTGCAGGAGCTGGTGGGCGAGAGCAGCCATTGGTTGACGCTATTGTCAGGCAAGGCCATGATTGACTTGGCCGCGATATCTTAGCAAGCCCCTGGCGCAAGTTGCTTTGATTCAGCGCCTTGAAGGGTCCTGACCAATCGCGGTGCTGTTGGTCTCGGGGAGCTTGGCTCGCAGGCACTTCGTTGTCGACCAGTCCGCTTGATCTCAGATTCATGCTGCTTCCACCTTGCCAGGCAGCTCTAAAGAAACTTCTGCAGCGGCAGAAACCTGCGCTGCAGAAGATTCGCCAATTCCTTGCTGCCTGGAGCTTTTCAAGCCTTGAATGAAGTTGGTGTCAACTTCTTGAGTTTTTTGCAACCTGGCCTTGTGCAATCACAGCTCCGGTTCTTGGCACGTGCAGTTGAACGAACGCATGCAGATTCATGAGGCCTTTCCCGCTTTGTTTGAAATGGGACTTGTCAGGCACCGAGAGGTCCTATTTCCTGTGCATGAAAGTCACTGCATCCCAGAAGTGGCCGACCTCCAGCTGGGTAGTGCATTGACTTCTGAGGATGATAGAGGACAAGTTGCCGTGACTTTGAGCGGCTGTGCCTCAACCAATATAGATGTGATTTGTGATTTGGTCGGATAAGCTGCTCGCCGCCCACCTAGGTGCGGACCAGCGAGGTCTGATACAACAACATCCAAAGACAGTGAAAGGCTCTGGGCACTGGTTGCCATGCCATTTATGTTGGCACGCGCAACTTGACCAGGTGGCAATCGCTCCGCCACCTCAGGACCTTCGAAGTGGAAAGGCGATGCTCATGCAGTATGTACTTTCAGTTCATGCTGGCTGCGAAGACTTTTCAGAATCCAGTGCCGCCAGGTGCCAACCTTGCATCGCTTTCTGCAGAAAGCTCAGAGTCCTTTGCATGCTCTGCTTTCCTTTACAGACCCATCTCACACAGCTCCGGAAAGTTAAGTTGTCAACAGCCGCATTGACAGATGATGCCCCATGCTAGCTCACATGGCTAAGATTGTCTACTTGTTGTGAAAAAGTTGTTTTATGGGCCAAGTTCTGTCAGAAATGCTGGCTTGCTGTGTCACCGGCCCTGCTACTGCACACGAAGGGCAGACATGGAAGGACAAGAAGCCTGGAAGCTCTTCAAAGCTGCCTGTAAAGCAGGATTGCAGGGCCTGTTCTCAGGCGAGGCGGCCGTAATCACTGCCCAAACTGGTCCATGTAGTGCTGATGATACTCCAGATCGTCAGAAGCCTCTGTAAGAGTGACGTTCTTGTTGCGTTCGATGGTTTTGTAGTGTTTTAAGGTCTTCTTGTCAGTAGCTTAACCTAAAATGAGCCCCCAATTGTGCTGATGATGCTCGTGTACAGGGGCATGTGCCCCGTACGTGAGCATCATCAGCACAATTGGGGGCTCCGTTTTGGCTTTATTGGGACCAGGAGGGATTAAAAACGAAGGAAAAACTAAACCATCAAAAATGGTTTTGGGCGTAGTTTTAAAGTGGTGTACAATCGTAGCATAGGAGCCCCAACAGTGCGAAATATGGGCAAAGAAACAACATGCAACATACACAGTTTGGTGGCTAATGCGCTTAAATCAGTTCCCACGCATGTTATGCAGTACAGGTGTGCCGCCCCAAGAACCCAGCATCATGAGCATCATGGGGTTTGTCTGTTCGGGCCCGAATTTCCTTCTTGATCTTGCACGTTGGGGTGTTAAAAAGTGAGAGACGAAGACTCAATGTCGGAACAGTGCTGATGAGCTGCTGATGATGTTGGCCCAACAAAGACTTTCCCAAACCCTCCGTAGCGTGGGGGAAACCTCCAGAAAGCCGCGGACCCTTGCTAGCGAATTGGTGATGCGGATCAAAATTCAAGACATTTCTTGGACGCAAAAACTACGGAGGGTTTCGGGCGATTGTTTTCGGGCCAACATCATTATCACGACTGGGCCTTTGTTTCTCATCTCTCATTCTTGGACACCTCAGCATACCTCTGGTTTAGGTTCAAAAAGGGGTGCTGGAACCTCATATGTGTGGTGTCCAGAGGGAAATGGGGGTCCAGACATTCCCCATGTTGGGTGGGGACATCAACATGCGCTATAAAGCTCAACAAAACGCTCTAAATACGCGCGGCTGTGTGCAATATTTGAGCCTGAGAATACCAGCATGTACTGCATGACGCGCATGCGAAAGGTTTTGCATGCAGTATCCAGGCCAAACCAACTCGAAATGTGTGCATGTTGCCTGGTTTTTTTGCGTTCTTTTGCTCATGTTTCCAGCACTGTTGGGGCTCCTCCTGATTCCCCCCACTGGCATCCCATCTGATCTGTATTTGGTGCACAGACACCAGCAGGCGATTCGTACCAGACTTCAACACTTCCTTCTTGAAAGGAAACTTCAGAGCGGTGCAAACAAAAGCTAATAAGCGCCGCACACACTCTGCGACTGCAAACATGGTACGCAACTCAACGCAATTATGGCTTAAACAGTTTCAAGCACGATATGCTTTGAGAAGTCTGACCCGAGTGCTAATGATGATCTGGGGTCTCAGCTGACGTTTGCCAACTTTGAAGCAAGACATGCGAGGAATGCACATTGGTTGCATCGGACATGCCTCAAGCAAAGCACAGCAAAGAACACAAGGGTGGAATCAAGGTGTCCGCAGGTGCGAGTGGCCTTGAGGTCGGGGGCCGTGGTGGCCTGGCCCACCTTTCTCAAATCCAGCATCGTGGTCCAGTGCGGCTTAGTCATATGCTTTCTATTTCGAGCCTGGCGGCACAGGCCGGCCGGGTCTTCCCGCTTTCCACACAAGCCAAAACGGAGTCCTGATTGGCCCCGGGTGCTCCAAATCATGAGAAGCCTCTGTAAAGAAGTGTTCTCGCTACTTTCGATGGTTTCTCAAAATTTGAGGTCTTCCTGTCATTATTTCTACCCAGAAAGGAGCCCCAATTATGCTAATGGTGCTTGCGAGTGGAGCTTGAGGGCGGAACCGGTGCGCAAGGATCATCAGCACAATTGGGACTCCATTTTGGCTTAGTTGGGACCAGGAGAGGTTATAAGTAGTCACAAGACAAGAAAATCCTCAAAAAGGCTTTGAACATGGTTTTCTACGCAGGCTCACCATGTTTTAGCCCACATGTGCCCTGTTTTGCAATTCAGAAGCAATTTAACGTAGTTGAGAGGAGAGTGGTGCACAATCGTAGCATAGGACTGCTGTGAAACACTCGACCTGACCGCGCGGGGATTTTCAAGTGCAGTGCACCAAAGAAGCCTGCATACTCGAGCGATTGACATTGAGCATCGCATTTTCTGAGGGGCACATAGCTTTGCTATGTCGCGCGTCATCAGCAACGGCAAGTGTCAGAAGCTGAGAGCGTTTTCTTTAGGGTATGGTGGTTGTTCGGTAAGTGTGCTGCCTCTGCCTGAAATCAGGACTTTGATGGGCGCGTCAAAGCTTTCCTGGTGGACGTCCTGGACCAACCAACTACGTCAAAACTGCATGGACTTGCCAAGAGCCCTTTCTTCGCCAAAGAAGCTCTGCGTCTTGCGTCTTTTGCACTGCTGGTTAGGGCTTTAAATGCCTAATGATTTAGCAAGACAGGACAAGGAGGGCGACGAAGCTTTAGACGATTGCTTCGAGAATCTGCACGAATGGCTGGGCAAGAAGGCCATGCTGACTGCAGCACCGCTCTTTGAACAGCTGCCTTATCGAACCAGCACAGGGGGAGCGAGGTGCAATCACAAACTGGTCCATACCTAAGAGCAGAATGCAACGAAGAAGTGGTCTTTGCCATCTGCTGGTGGTGTTTGTTTTCGAGTCAAAGTGGTGCGGGCGCTGGCTGTGGCCCAACTTTGTCCAAGGCCAGCTTACATCATGAAGCTGCTGCAGGGCTGGAAGCTGCAGACCTGCCACGTGTTGCAGTCGGCCAGTATCCAACAGTTCTTGGCTTCAGAAAAGACCTCAGAGCTGATGCCTGGCTTCTCTTGATGATTGTTCATCCAGGCAGCAGCTATGTCCGCATGTTCGGTAGGTAGATTGACAGTCAGTCATGCAATCAGGCTGAGGCGGCGCCGTTGTGTTTGACTATTCAGTGGTCAAAGTCCAAAGCACACATGCGAAAGCTCAACACTTTCTGTCTGCGAGTCGTTCCGGATGCCAGGGAGCGGGCGCAATGATTTTCCAAAACGTGAGCTGATGCTTTCTCCTGACGCAGCCTGCGCTCACGTTTTGCGTTTGTTGGCATGTCTGGCGTAGATCTCTTAATCTCTTAGCCAGCATGCTGCGCTGGCAGAAGCGGTTCAGCTCTCCGGGCGTGTGTTCGACCCCAGGACTGGAAACGATTTTTTGCACAACTTGAGACTACTTCATATCATTTATATCCTTGTAGCAGGCGGTCTGTAGTTTAGAGTTAACGTGATCTGTGTCACTTGTGGCATCGCACAAAGTGTGCGATTTGGCCCTGCATGCCTCGCGTCTTGGCATCAACCTGGCACAAGCAGCGAGCTTGACGTCCAGAACAGCCGACTGTGGGCTAAAAGACACGTGTCTCACCAGAAGTATCTCAAGTTGGAGCAAGCTCAGCCGAAGATGTCCTCAAAACCGCAAAGCCCACCGGCTGCTCGTTTTGCCATTTGCTGCGGGAAGAGCCATCTGTTCTCCATAAAGTCCAAGCTCATGTTAGGCTGGCTAGTACATGCTGAGGTGAATGAACAAAGGTTCAAGGAAAGCATCATGCAGAGGCCGCACATACCCAACTTTCACCCCAAAAGATCCAAAGCTTTTCAGCAAACCCCAACGGCGCAAATTCGATAGGATCATTCAAATCACAAATGCCGGCCTTCCCCTTTCCGAGGGGCTGCAGGCCCGAACCAGTTACTGGATCAGTTGTTTGAGCGTTTGCTTGCACGCACGCCGCCGTGGCTTCTCTTGAAGGTGTGTCAGCCCACGATGTCTGCGGTATCGCGGCCGCGACTTGGACCTTCCTAAGCTGGTTTAAGGATGTGAAAGACACTGTTGTGTGAGCATCCATCTTGTCCAAAGCAGGGACAAACCTGATCACAAGGTCTCGAGCTGCATTCTTCATCTTCAACCCCTCATTGGTGCTCGGGGCTGCAACTAGTAACGACTTCCACTGCACAAAACGCAACTTGGTCTTAAGCACACTGCAATTTATTGTCATCACAGTCCGGCTCCCGCTTCGTGTAGGAACGTGTCTTGTCTAAGCAGACAATAGACAAGAGGTGCCAAAGGAGCCAAAGCCAACGGAGGAGGCAATCCAGGACAGATGGATTTGTGATTCAGTCAGAGGTGGTACACGTTAGCCGACTTTAAGTTAGGCGGGTGGCTGTGAGATAAAGTTCTCCACTGTAATTGCCGAGCTTCTCTGTCTCATTGGTGTGTCATCAGCCCTCAGGATGCGAAGATTATCTACTACTCACCCTCCTGTGCTCCTATTGAGGAGAAGAGATCCCAGGCGTCTCGTTTGAAAGCAGCATGCGCAAGTATTAGAGCAAGTGTGGGCTTGTGAACGATTCTCTGCATGCGCAGGTGGGCATGGTCGAGGGCCCCTCGGCAGGAATGTGCCCCCATAAGCGCCCACGCTTCATGTCAAAGGCGTTGCAGCTTGCGGCAGCGATTAGCAGGATTTTAGAGCAACACATATTGGAAGCTATGAGAAGACCAGGTGAGCTTGCCTTCGGCTGCGGAAACGTTGTCTAAAAAAATGCTGAGCTGGGTTCACGATGTTCAGGAAATCTGCAGCATTTGCAGCAATGGTATCACCCCCGAGCAGCGTGCACTAAAACCTTTCGGCTAACCAAGCGTTTGCAAGCTGAGGCTTGATCTCCTTTACTGCCATGTTCAGTGGACCTGAAGGCATGTGACATCAGTTGCCTAGCAACCAAATCTGCACACTGACCAATTAGCTTTGATTCCACTCTTGCAAGAAGATGACCACATTATGTACAGACAATTGGTGATGTAGGCTGCTGCACGGGGCTTTCACGGCAACAGTTGAGACAGGCAAACTAGCAGCATGCGTGAAAGAGTTCAGGGCTAGTCGCTGGTTGACGAGCGCCGTGAGCCTGCAGGCCCGCTGAGGCACATCAGAACTCAACAGCTCGCGTTCAGCGTGCTGGAGGCATTCTGCGGAGTTGCTCGTATGCCGTGGAAGATCTTTCTTGGAGTTAAGAATTTGAAAGCACATGACGCCTGTGTAGCTTCTCTGGAGGTAGAGCCACAAATATGGATGGTGCTCGCAATGCGGCATGCCATCGCGGGAAAGCTCAGTTGTTGTCACACTGAAAAGGTCAATTTCATGTACACGTCGCTGTGTCATTTGATGCCTCTCAGTTAAATGCAGAGAGCCGTACCGGCGGGGAGCAGAAGTTTGATGAGGTGCTTGCGTTCTGGCTGCTTGTTGCAAGAGACTGTTCTCCGCACTTTTATGTTTGTGATGTGGTCTGCGCAGCCAGGAAGGCCTTGCAGAGAGCACACTGCAGGCCTCCAGCTGCTGTATTGAGCCTGACAGAATGCATTTGGAATAGCAACTGATCTTTCTGCGGTTGTGACGCAAACATCGCAGAAATTCGCGAAATGCACCATGAAGTCATGTGAGCATGGCCGCCATGACCTTTTGGCCCCAGGCTTCTGCCATACGAATCAACGGAAGTTTGAGAAACACTGGGCTTCAGAGAATGGAACAGTCTCTGATGTAACATCCAGCCGCCCGTGTTTCAAACTTCCGCTCTAGACTGCAGGGTCTTGACTGCAATGGTAATCGAGAACAGCTGGTGCCTCTAGTCATGATTCTCCCGTCTACTCGCAGTGCACCCGGAAGCCTCACCCTGAAACAGACCTTGTTCAGCAACAGCATGCGTAGTGACTCTTTGCAAGTTCTATTCCCTCGCACAAATCGATGGCGGACTTCAGCCAATGCTCAAGGCAGGATTCACGCGGCTCCAATCCTGTGACGGCTGCAGCCTTGCTGGCAAGGTTATTCCATGAATTGATGGCAGATGCAAAGCAGGAGCAGGAGGGGTACTTCAGCGTCCTTTGCCAGAAACTATCGGGTCAAGTTGCACAGGATCACCCCTTCAGCAAGTCAGACTATAAACCACCACGTGTATTGGCCGCAGAGCTTGGCATTGAGAGGCTTCATTGCCTGCGTGGCCATCGCCAAACAGTGGGCGTGAACATAGCGTTACCACGGTACCGTGCTTAGTGAATCCCAGCTGACATACTTTTGACCTGTTATGGAAGGTGGGATTTCAAAATCAAATCAAGAGAATGGAGTAGCGTGATGATTAGCAGATCGCCATTACCTTTCACCATTCCTTGCGGGAGCTCACGGCATCGGCTGGTGAAGTGAAGGCTGCTCGGCCATGTTTTTTTCTACAATCGTGTTGTTCTAGGATTCTGGGCCAAAGACGGCTTGACCATTAAGAAGAATGAGTATGTACAGGTCGGGATCGCCCGTTTGTCCAAGTCATGTTGATTACTGTATTTGTACGGTTGAGGTATTGCTAGCAGCACAGCAAAGAAATGAGTCATGTTTGCGTGCGCGTTCAGTCAAATTGGTACACGAGACATGAGAGGAGGCAAAACAACAGTCTGAGCCAAGATGCAGAGTAAACTCTGCGCACTTGATCACAGAAGCACGCCAACAACGAATCAAAGGCCTGCAAGCACTGCTGTATGGCAAGAATATCGCAAGCTACCTGAGCCTTAGTATCGTCGATTGAAACGCTTCATCGTTTGATGGTGCCCAACAAGCTCATCAGCCTTATAGGTAACTTTTATGAAAACAGAAGGGACTGCCATGGGGCATGGGTTTTTGTATACCCACTATTTTCCGCATTTTGTTGAT